CTTACTTTACAGCATTTTTTCACACCTGCCTAAAACTTTTGCACAGTACTGTATATTCATGCATGCATAGGTACATAATTCAGTGACAATTTGAGCTATTTAATTGTAATTTATAATTCTTTTCCAGATAACTGCTGCTAGTTTAATTAAATGTGTTTGCTTTATGTCCTTTATAGCTTGCAAAAAACTTTAGGTCTGGATTCTCTGAATGATATTCTGGACACCAAACTTGTAAATCCAAAGGACATCATTCAGAATGTGTATAATGTCAACAAACAAGGAACTGTCATTTTAGAAGATAAATCAAGTAAGTGGAACTTGTTTAATATGTTACAGTTTTGCTGAAATCTATTCAGGAAATAAATATATATTGATCACTAACCTGCTCATTCAGTGGCAATAAAGTTCTGGGATAGATTTGTCTAAAGAAACATGTGATAATCTGCTTCCCTGTGAAATCTAAGGAACTTTGATTTGATTTGAAACTTTGATAAATCCCATTTACTTTTTGCTGTCTTCCTTGTTCATACATAACTCCCCCCACCAACTCAATCTCATTCCAGGACAGAGCACAGCACGCCTATTTGTGAATGGGAGACAAACCTTTATAGTCACTTCATTTCTATCTGAGGTAGATTTCCTTCAAATGGAAACTATTATGTTTGTCCCTCAAGGCTCCATTCTGTTTCTAGTGTTTTTCAGTAGCTACATAAACCTGCTAGGAGGGATTATCAGGAGATTTAGAAGTAGGTCCTCTCAAGAACTAACTTTCCATAACATCTTCAGAAGATGGTAGGACTCCTGTGAAAGCCCAACTGCAGTGAGAAATTGGCTGGATGAGGGATAATTGAAACTGAACCCATTAAGGGTGGTCTGAGTTAACTTTCTGCAAGTATGTTTCACTGTGTTGTGTGCTACTGAAATGATAGGCAACATCCTTAGCAAAACTGAGTGAATGCATTTAGCTGTGCTTCTTAAAAAATTCTTCATGACATAGTGATCATCTCTGTGCACAAAGAAACAGAATACTTGCTATCTTATTCTGTTAGAAAATCATGTGAGTTATTGTTTTCTATTGTAGTTGCTGATACTGTTTCGGTACACTAAAATCATTTCCATCAATGCCTACGTGAAGTCATCCTTAGCTGACAAGTGAGCAGCAGCCTATAAAAACTCATACAGTTCACTTTATAGCTAAGAACTAAAGGGGAAAGATATTACTCCTCTACTATGGGAAGAAGCATAAAATGGTTAAATAAATAAATGCCTGCAGTTGTAATTTAAAGCCCAGTTTCTGTGCTCTCTTTAGTAAGTGTTAAAAATTCTTTAATGCAGAAGAGGTTCCTCACTGGGTTCTGTCAGCAATGAAATGCTTAGCAAACTGTAAGTATTCCTTATTTCAAATCAGTACGCTGCTTTTTAAACTTCTGCTTTCCCATTGACTTCAGTGAAGCGGAAATCCTCCATTCTTTTCTTTTTTAATAGACTGATTTTGACTAGGATGAATCTGTTTTCCAGCATAGAGGTTTTCCAATAACATGATAGTTTCTGCAACAGAGTCACTGGTCTGAGATGGGTGGCTATATAAATTAAATAAATAAATATAGTTGGGATTAAATCAGTCTGCGGCATAGAGCATCTCATTCTCATCGCCCATTGCTCCAAAGCTGCAATTTCTTTGAGTGGAGTAACTTCCTAGGAGTGGGATTAATATTCTCTTGACCCTCCCGGAGCCCCAGATAGTAGGGCTAGTCCTCTTACAAATTCTCTTGAGTCCTTAGACATTTAAGGTTACTGAGGGAGACGGAAGGAACCAAGTTGAACTTTCTAAAAGTTGCTAATAGAAGTGAAGGAGAAATTTCCTTGTATATCATTCACAGATCATAATGCTAAAAGACCCAGTTAAACTTGGTTTCTTCAAGTATAGAAAGTGTCAGGTTGGATGGCCTTTTTTTTATTGGCATTGCTACTTTCCTGTAAGTCAAATTAGAGTGTGCCTAAATTCTTGAAGGAAAGCTGACCCTTTCATTCAGTGTCTTACTCAACATTACATATAGAGGCAATTTGGATTTGGTGATAAAGAGAATACAATGTTTTTAGGTTCTTTGGAATGGCCATATACACATGGAGGATATACTAGAAGAAAAAGTTACTGAACAATGTGTGTTTGTAAGTTGCTTCGTGGTATAGTTCCAGGTAATTTTGTGTTGTAAGCCGCCCAGAGTCCCCCATTGTGGGGAGATGGGCGGGGACAAGTTAAATAAATAAATAAAAAATAATTTTAGTATATCATTCATAGTTGCAGTCATTCCCTACTATTAGAATGCCCCTTCCATTGTTCATCCTGGTTATGTTTTGTGTTAAAGGTAATCCCTTTTAAACCAGGGATTATCTAGCTGGAGAAGCAGGGAGATGAAGGTTATGCCTCTGGAGTGCTTTCAAACAGGTAATTCCCTGAGTATATTTTGAAGTGGTTTGGCTGAGTGAAAAATCTGTGCTGCACACATTTAAGCCACCAATTTGTTTAGAAAGTTCAAAACTGTCTTGAAATTATTGAAATTTATGAATAGGCATGTGGTGGTTGAAAGTCAAGTTTTTAGAAGGACACTAGCTGAAGTCCTTTGTTAACTGTTTAATTTCTTGCTTGTTGAATATTTTTCATTCCTATAAACTATGTGACAGTGTTTCCCTTATGACTAGAAATGTAATTAGTGCTGTTTCTGCAGCCTTCACAATCCAACCAAGAATTCTTTTTTTTTTTCACTCCACTTCCCCCTTTTCCATTCTTTTTAGGGCCCAGATGTCCAGATCTGAAACAGCCCACCTATTCAGGTTTTGAAAGAGATGTCTTTAGAACCATAGCAGATTATTATGCACACATGAAGGAGCCTCTTCTCACATTCCAGTTCTTTGATGTTTTTGTGAGTGTGCTAGGTAAGTTATCATGTAAAAGGGGTACCTAGCAGGCTGAGCCCACAGTGCTTGTGTTGCAAAACTTGGTGGGTTTCATGCTTAGCAATGTCCTTCAGCATCTTTCCTAATGACAAATGATTCCTTCTAGAGCTTGATATTTTGAGAACCATTGCTGTTAAATGATGAACTTCTAACAGAACACCTAAAAATTATACATTTTTAATCTGAACTTTCAGGTTGCCCAGTTCAGACATTACAATCCTTTAGGAAGGAAGGCTTCCTAAAGACAGCAGTGCAAATAGCCCTGAGCCAGTTTATTCAGAGATTTACCTGGAGTGCTATAGGAGGAAGACTCAAAGCAAGTCTGACCGGACAGGGGTAAGAGCCCATATTAGGGATTATCTCGTGGTGATAAGGATGACAAAATGTCAATATGTTCCTATCCTTATTGCATCTGCTGTTTAGGGCGACCTGGTCCCTATTGGGTAGGGAGGGCCCCTCAAAACTTTTGGTGGGCTGCTGTGAAGACTATTCAGGCTATCTGATGGAAAAAGTCACTCAGATTTGCTCCACCTTGGACTCTGGCTGGGCAGGGCAGGCTGAAGTGGCTGGGGCATGTTCTGGTAGTGTGATCTGGGATGAGTGAGGCAGGCTCAGGTGGCTGGGATGGGCTGATGACACCTGAGGAAGTGGATGAGACTCTGTGGTGTCAATTCGGTTCCCCGTTTACTGGATCTGGGTCCTTCTTGGGTCGTGAAAGTGGCCAGGGAAGTGACCTACAGTTGGGTATATGCTGTAGTGTCAACCTCTTTGACTGAGGGAGTGGTGCCCTGAGCTTTGAAAAGAGGTGGTGGTGCACCCACTCAAGAGGCCATCCTTGGCCTCAGTAGTTTTTGTGGAAGATTATTGAGAAGGTAGTTGATCTGCAGCTGATGATAACCCTGGAGGAAACAGATTATCTAGATCCATTTCAGTCAGGTTTCAGGCTGGGATTCAGCACTGAGACAACTTTGGTTGTGCTTCTAGATGACCTATGGCAGAGCCAGATTGGTGGTAATGCATCCATCATTGTGCTGCTTGGTGGCTTTTGATGCCATCAACCACGGTAACCTGAGCTGGCTTCACTTCATGGATTGGGGATTGGAGCCCCATTTTTATGATGGTTCTCTTCCTTTCTCCGGGACCATTTCCAGTCAGTGTTGGTTGGGGGAGGAGAGATCATTCCCCAGGCCTCTCCTTTGTGGGGTGCCACAGAGTTCCATTCTCTTTCCCCTCCTTTTCAACGTCTACATGAACCCACTGAGTGAAGTTATCTGCCAGTTTAAGGTTCAGTATCATCAGTACCCTGATCATACCCAATTATATCTTTCAAGTCTAGGCTGGCCAAGTGAGGCTGTTGAGGTTCTGTCCTGGTGCCTGGAGGCTGTGCCAATCTGGATGGGGAGAAACTCTCTCCAACTCAGTCCTACCAAGATGAGTGATTGTAGGTGTTCAGACTAACCAGATCTGGGGACGTTTCATCTTTGACCTTAGATGGAATGGCACTTCCCCATTCAAGAGTGGTGTGCAATTTGGGGGTCTTCCTGGACTCACAGCTTGATGAGCAGGTGGCAGCTGTGGCCAGGCAGCTGTGCACAGCTCCATCTGGTGGGCCAGTTGTGCCCTTTCCTAGGCTCGGGGGCCTTCAGAAAGTCACTCATGCCCTGGTCAGCTCGTGGCTTGACTAGTGCAGTATGCTTTACATAGGGCTGCCCTTGAAGACTACCTGGAAATTTCTACTGGTCCAGAATGCAGGAGAGTGGGCAGTGATGGGCATGCCTCAGTATGCTTTGCAAGCTGCACTGGTTGCCATGTTGCTTCCGGGTGCAAATCAAGGTGCTAGTTGTTACCTATAAAGCCCTACATGGCATAGGGTCTGGTTACTTGAGGGACCACCTGTCTCCCATAGTATCTGTCCAGCCAGTCTGATCTAGCAGGGTTGGCACACTCTGGGTTCCTTCGATTAAACAATGCCATGTCTTGGGATCCCAGAAGAACACCTTCACCCAGGCCTTTGGCGAGGGTGATTGAAGCCCCTTTTTTCTTTGTACTAGTTTTGTCATTTCTGCCATCTTTTTTCTTTTTTGTTGTTGTTCTTTTTGTGTTCTTGTTTTTAAATGTTTTTAATAATTTGTAAACTGCCCAGAGTCTCTGGGAGTTGGGCAGCATATAAATCTAAAGTATAATATAGTG